TTACCCTAGATTGGTTGACAACTTCTTGTTTGGTTAAAGTATGTCTCATGTAAAACTGTAAAACCGGCGTTCAGAATATGGCATAAATCCATGTTGAACAAGAAAACATGTTTAAAAGAAAGAAACACAGTGATCTACTGACTACCACAAAGTCATGTGTTGAGTATGCAAGTTAAACTAAACAGGTTTTATCAATACTATAAAACAATGCAACATGCCTCAGTCTTGAATGTTTGAAGCAGTGCCATGTATGTAAAGGCTTTCATTATAGAATAGCATAGATAGTCACTATTGTACTTTATTATTATTATTAGGTCAAAGCCATAAAAATGTGCAAGAACCAATAATTATAATTATCATAAATCCATACTAACATTTCGCCTCTGATATGTTTTAAATCTATCTGTGTGTCAGGATAGGCACTCTCCTCCTCACTGCTGCTACTACTACTACTTTCCTGCCCTAAAGTCTCCGGGGCAACTCCCTCTGCTTTAAAATTTACCCCATCTGGACTGTTCAGTGCAGGTGCCTCCTTGTCTTGAGAGTCCTCTGATTTCTTTTGGACCCCAGAGTCACCCTGTTTTTTTGTCCCTAGTAAAGCCAGTTTCTCACTGCTGGAGTAACAGTCAGTAGTACTAGAGTAACACTCTGTGGTGTCCGATTCCATCATTTCACTGTCACTGCCATTGTTTAGAGATGCAGTGTCACCGTCAATTGACACCATTGAGTCTGTCATTGATGCCGTGTCCTCGTCGTCTGCACCGTGAGCCTTCCTCTCCCCCTGGTGGCGATACACAGAACCTTCCTCCAACTGTGGTAGGATATAAAATGTATCTTTTTGTCACTTTTTCCCAATTTTATTGATTCAAGATATTAAATTTTGTAAAAAAATCTCAAATTTCTATCCCTTTAAGAATATTATTTCATATTCTCTTCTGACTATTGTTGGATAAATTGTTGCTGCATGGTTGTGGTAGAAATGTCTCAAATTTCTATGTGTTTAATATATATATATATATAATTAAAATAAAATCAAAATTCAACATATTAAATCTAATTTCATATTCTTCAAGGTAATTTTTCTTGGACCATCTTAACCACATTTGCTAAATTTTCATGAGCACAGAACATCATTTCATAACAGTAACTCACCTTGAAGAGAAACCCAAACCCATATATTAAATAACATGGAGGCACATAGTTCTTCTTTCCTGCAATTAAAACATTACCGGAATCAGTGAAGGTGATTATATTCAAAGCACATATTTTCCTTTCTATCTCAACTAATTGTAATACATACACTTTGGTAATTTCAAAATTGTGATAAAATACTCTAACTTATATACTTTGTGTAGGCGCCACATAAAATAATGAAAGAGAGCTGGGATGTTTACCTCTGATCATAAAGCTCCCGGTGGTCAGGTACTCTCCCGTGGGGGCAGTTTTGGACACCTGGTCATGGTAGACCCACCACGCACTAGTGACCACCTTGGCATCCCAGGCAGCACTATTACAAACTGCCATTGTACCAGCCTCGTTCAGTGTCTTAGGGGGAACTGGCTCACCTGTGCGATTTATTTGTTTTATTTGTGAATGTGTGTGTCATCATGGTCATCTACAGTTATCTCTCAATACTGAATTTTTCTTTTTCAGTAACAGGGGTTAATAGTAAAAGATTAAGGGACAACAAAAAATGATTGTGATACCACATATATTCATGAAAATTTAGCCTGAATGCAATAAACAATCATAACTATCATTGTACTAGGAGTGTAATATAATATTTATGAATAGCTCAAATATTAAAATTGCATGGAGAATGTAAAACTAATTATAATACATCATTCTTCATTTTTCACTGTACAGTTAAGTAGGAAATATTACAGACAGTGGGTTGGAGTTAGTGCTTACCTGTGGGATTTTTTATAACTACACTGCTAGCACCATGTAAATCAGCATGAACATAGATGTCACCTGAAACAGATTTTAACAGCTGATGATCTATAAAAAATTTAACTAAATTATATACACATTTCATGTCTATGTGTGCATTTATTTATGAGTGTCTTGGATGGGAAAATAATAAAACTGATGCTTATTAAGCTAAATCACCTACCAGCTGTTAGATATCTCTTCACCAGCAATTCATTCTGTTGCTGATCACGACCACCTATCACCAAGTAGTTCTCTGAGCTGATGAAATACAAGAACTTCTCAAACCTGGAAACAAACAATTCAGACTTCAGATTTAGTAAAGCACTTAACTGTGATGGTGAATATGGGCATTACCAGACAACCATAGGTTAAGGGCTAACTTTTCCTTTCTCCGAATTCAAATTGCAATAAAAATCCAACTCACCACGCTGTCTTGCGGGTCCTGTTTATACTGGCTAAAGTGGCCACCTCTTTTAAGGTCTGCTTGGTTTTTCTTTCAGCTGATTTTAAAGCCTATTGATAAAGAACAAAACAGAGATAGTTGGTTTATAAGACAAAAATATATGGTGATGCTGAGCATTTGAGCATTAATAAAATAAATAATGCTAATACTGTCTTTGTAACTTCATTGTATGAACATTCTGTCCCACTGTTGCCAATTCAACTGATAGCGAAAAATGAAGAAATTCACTACACTGACCTTTGCAGATGCGTCTATTGTTTTTTGCTCTTTATGGGCAGCAAAACGCTTCATATCATAATATCTGAACAAAAAAATTGACAAGGTTGGTAATAAAAACAAGATTGGTAATAAAAACATGAGATATTAAGTTATGACAAAGATAAGGATTTTACAAAATAAACGGGCTTTTATCTAAGGATGTAGTAATAATAATAATAATAATTAAATGCTAAAAATTTTCATTTAGCTCTCACTAAGTATAAAAGCAGTCTTGGTAACAGATAATCATAACAAAGTTTCAACAAATGATGTACAGATCGCTGTTCATCTGTTCTTCACTCACTTCCTAGCATTAGCATATGCAGTCAGCCCTAAATCTATGTCAACTTTGAGAGGTTTAAGATTCTCACTGCTCTCTTCATCTTCCTCCTCCTCATCACTGTCGGGTATTGCATATGGGTTGCTTGTATTGTGGAAAAATATGCCATACAGTTATACATCCAGTAAGACATTTTCAATATGTGCTGATTACAGTTTCATTAACAAATTGATGCAGAAAAGAATCTCTTACAGAGACTATTATAAAATATTATAAGCAAAAGAACTCTTGAAAAATTGACTCCATTTTTCTCCATTTTTAAGTATAGCTTATCCTTAAATCAAAACAAACTTCTTAAAAGAGTCCAGATCTTTAAAGAGGGTGCAAACCTAGCCAAACTGAATTTCTCTTACCTCAACAACATGGTAATATGGTTAGTATCCAGTTTGAGAGCTTTTATTGCTATGGCAACAGGATCTCCCTGAAGTTGTGCCTCCTTAACCAGGTCTTTGATCTCATCCCAGTCTATCTGGTTAGCCACTGCACTCTGGACCACCAAGATGGCACGGTCCACCTGGGGCATCGGGAAATGATCAATTTTAAGAAAAACTGGACACAATACTTTATAATATATGTATACCAGACATTAAATAAAGTAGTGCATAGAAACAGATTCAATGAAGTGTAACGAAGATGCCAGATGAAAGAGTAGAAAAATCTCAATAGTTCAGCAATTTTCACTTCTTCACTCCAACAAATATGATGTAAATTTAATGAACTGTGACTGCATGCAAATGCTATGTCTGATGAACACTTGCATATTTTAGAATATTGATATGTTTCATGTAAAATACTACCTAAATATTATTAAATAATTTTTACTGTTACATAATCTTATGAGAAATATGATCTTTTCTTTACAATACACACACTACATAAAAACAATAAATTACCAAATCTAAATTAATTTCAATAAGTTCGGCTTTCCTAATGTCCTGTTCCTGTTCTTTCTGCAGAGTCTCTAATCTCTTCTCATGGTCTTTCTTCACATTTTCCAATTTCTTGACCACTACTTTTTCCTGAAACATCACTGACGATTAATTTCATAGGAAACTATACTGCAACAATTCAAATTATTTCAGAATGTAAGGCACAGGTACTTTCTCAAATGAAAAACATTGCACAATGTAGGCAATATTAAATAGAGAACTGTTAAACAGTATTTTGAATAAGGCATACCTTTTGAAGAACCTTCATGTCAAGTTTTTGACTTTCAATTTTTGAATAAAACTCATCCACAGCCTGAAATACAACCACAATACTAAATATAACTCATAATTAGCCAAATAGATTTTTCAAAAATGAAAAGTACAAAATTAAATAAAATTATTTTTCAAAAACTATCATTCTGAACTTTTGTAGAAACTGGCTTTTAAAGAGGGTTATGTTTATAGAAAGAATAATTTTGAATACTGACAAAGATATACCCTGTATGCATAATATAAACAAAGAACATCTGCTGAATTATAGGACTCCACTGTTTTACCTTGTTGAAGGAAGGCAGTTCCACAAAACTTTTGTTTTCATATTGCTTGAATAAATATGGGTGAAATTCATCATATCTAAAAGTAGAAGTACAACATATAGATGTACACATAATTGGGTAAGTAGTGAGTAAAAAATTCAGAAAGCCAGATAACCTGCAAAATTTTCGTCACATTGTCCTTGTTACATAGTCCTTTAACAGTATATAAGAAAGCTTTGCTCACGTCAATAGCTCAGCAAATTCACCTTCCTGTGGGTTCACCTTCTTATCTTTTTTCTGTGTTATAAAACCCTAGAATAATAATAAGATGGTATTTACAAATGATAATATTCACACCTAATTGTTTAAAATATCAAACAGAATTTCATTTCAGCTCAAAATTTGATATGAAATGGACCTGTAGCTATCTCAACAGATGTAATGCTAACACAGTTTCATACATACCCTACTAACACTGTCTTTCATCTGCTGAAAGAGTTTTTCAGCATCCTCAAGAGCAACCATGAGCTTTGGCAAATCTGAAGTTGAAATATACAGAAGCATTTATTTTAGATAGTTCCCATTGTTGCATGGTTTTGCACATCACTCAAGTTTTCAGAACTAAATTAAAAACACTACTCATGGATTAAATGGAATCTATCTATACTCTACTTTAATGGCCTTCAAGACACTTCAACTTGCATATACCACTTTGCTTCGTGAAGACAAGATATTTCTTTTTACTGCATTTTGAAAAACATATGGTCCTTTACCTTGTCCTATATCAAATCCTTTCCCAAGTTTGACGTTCTCAGCAAGCCCGGCAGATGTCAGTGAGTGTTCAATCAGTGCAGGGCCATATACTGAAAGAGAAAAACAATACAATTACAAGAGGATCAGAGACCACTTCCTGGGTATGTACCACTGCATGTAACTGAAACTGACAAAAATTTAGACACTATTTATGTATTTATTTACAACTTTTTTATTGTATTTCTTTTTCTGGTTTTAACCAAATCAAAAAGAAAAAGTACTTGAAAAAAAAGTAAAAAAATGTTTAAAATTTGAATACAGGTTTAAATTTTCCATCCATCTAACCTAATTTTGGATTCAGAATTTTTTTTACAGGATCTCCTTCTTGGCCACTTAAAAGCATCCCTCGTAATCTGAAAAAGAAAGAAAAAATAGTGATAATAACTTTACCAATTATAGGTAAATAATTCTACCAATCATCGGTAAATATTTCATTCCTCGTCTTTCCTTATGCAATCTAGAAACTATGCAGTTTAAATAACAGAAATCAGCACCAGCCCATAAAACCATTACATCTTATCCCACACTCTCTACTGGCCATGCTTATGATTGTTCTTCAATATAGACAAAGATATAAATTATGGGACCACAGGCACCTGAAGGCAAATATAGGAAAGCAAAGCCAAGAAAAAAGTCTGGAGAAGAACAGCAGAAAGGAAGAGGAACAAGATTGGGTGGCTGGGCTAGAGAATAGTGGAAGAAGTTGCCAGGGACAGGGCAAGGTGGAGAGATCTCAACCTCACCTAATGTTTTATAAAGACTCAAGATGATAGGTTCTATAAAAATTCAGCCCATTCTGGCTAAAATATCCCTGGCATACCTTTCTATGGTGAGAGGGGGGTCTGGCTGCCTGGCTGCCTCTATGGGGTAGGTCTCTCTCACAGCATACTTGACATCCTGACTGTCATCTGTCCGTGGTCTCAAGATGTTCAATATTGTGTATTCATAGTCTGTCAAGATGATGTTGCCCTGGAAGGGATTCACAGTGATGTCATGGTAGAATGGAGCCCTTGGGAATTTGAATTCTAAAGAATGAATAACCAATCAATAATCAATAGGAAATTATATTAATTAAATGACACCTGGAAACAAACTATAAATGGACCTACTCTGTCATAGAGTTCTAGTATCACATGGTATGCAGCTTCTCCTGAACCAAACTGAAGATCTACAATCCTGTCAACTCCAAGCTGTGTCACACTCTCCAGTCTACGCGCTCTTAGATGCTTCCTCAGCTGAATTGTAAAAATAAAGAGAACAATTGAAACATAAAACGAAAGGCAGACAGAAGGACAAAATATAATTTGAAAACCAAAATCTCGAATAAACATTGGACTAATTTTCTTTTTATGTCACATTTAATCTTCAACCTTCATCCAAACCTCTTACCATAAATCAACTCATATTATTAAGCAAAACTTGATAAGTTTACCTTCATTGCAAACCCAGATGGACTCATGCTTTTTGGCCAGTCAAACTCTGTGCCATGCAGTCTAATACCAGACTCTAGGAGGAGAACAGCTTTTAGATCTGGTCTGAAATATAGAAATAATTAACATCGTAATGATCATACGACCCAATTTCAGATTATAAACAATAAAAAATGTATATCACTCTAAATATATTGTGAATTATAATTTTTGTAAATACATTATTTTGGACTACATATATTATTGAAGTAATAATGAAAAATGTAAAGTACTAAAAATAAAATGTTACCTCAATTTTAATCTAAAACAAATGCAGTAATTGAAAATACCTTTAAACTTTTTACTCACTTTGCAAGTTTGATGAGGTATGTTTTGTTATCAATATCATAGATATTTACCACCCTCATTCCAAGAAACCTGAAGACAAGATAAAATAGAAATTAAATACAATGTTGAATATGTTATCACTGTAATGACATTCATTCTCTGAATCACAAAACCAGTATTTATAAAGCAACATGTAATGTGTGAAGGACCCTTTAAAGTGAGAAACAGAGATGAGGAACCACAGTTTTGATCCAAACAGACTAACAAGACAGTCTCAATGTAGATAAACTGGAGCCAGGGCAATAATCTGAGGGTTCAATAGTCAGAAGGTTCATTGATCCGATTGTTCATTATAGAACCTTTGGACCAATGAACCCTTGATTAAAAAACTGATGAAAATGTTACCATTTTTCGGACCAAGAACCTTCGGGCCAATGAACCTTCAGACTATCGACATGCCCACGAATAAACCAAGGAGGTCGAACTTTCTTGGAACTCCTTGGATAAAAAATGCTGTATCAGCTGGAGACGTCATATTTTGAAATAATTTAAAAGAAAAATAAACCTGTCAAAAATAAGGGGTGGGGAGACCTCTAAACTGAATCATGTTAACTCGTCGTTAATCGGCGCCTTAGAATGACATCCTAAGATATTAAACATGTCCCTCGTCAAACATTATGATCGGTCATTTTTTTTTCAAACGACTACGTCATGTTGTGCAACTCGACCATTAAAATAATTAATGGGAATCAGATGTTGGTCGTTTGTTTGCATTATCATGGTCAAACCTCACCTTTCATTAATTTCAAAAACAACAGCTGCAATATCTATCGTGCTGAACCTGGTCTTCATCTTGGTATGCTATATGACAAAAATTTAACTAGTAAAAAACATCACATGCATGTACTACGAACCCTACAGCAAGATCATGCTGTGGAGAAGTGCAGACGTAAATTGTCTTAATCAAGACGCTACTTCAAGGTTCCTTCGAGGTTCTGTTAAACAGGTATTTACGACATATATCTTATTTATTTTTGTGCTTCAATTTTCTGCTTTGAATTTTTATTTGAGTTATATATATTATTTGATCATTATAATACTGCTTGAAGTGCGCTAGAATGTAGCTTATCATGGAAATAATTTTGGTAAACAGACGTGACTGCTCCTAAACACCGAAAGCGTGTGGTGAAGGTCAGAGAAAATGACGGAAGCAATTTTAACAAAACTACACAGTTCTAAGAAATTAGAACGCGATAGGGGGCTTAATGAACTAAAAGAACACCTAAAATCTACAGATGAAGCTGGAATTTCTGCTTTAAAGGAAACTTTCACAGGATATTTGAAAGATGAATCTAGCACATGGGAGATAAAGCATGCAGGTTTGATGGGTTCTTCTGTGTTATTGTCTCTGTGTGACTGTGGGGAAGATTACGGTACAACCATGCAAGAAGAAGCGCTGAGGCTTTTAGAAGATGAGGAGTTTCGAGTGAGATTAGCTGCAGGTTAATATTTCCTACTCGTATAATCACTAGGCTTTTGGTTTTTAATTGACTTTGGAAATGAAAACAATTAATTTAGCTTGAGTATCTGACGAATTCTGTCTGTGCTACAAACACGATTTTGTCTGACTTAAATTGGTAACCTGATTTTATTTTAGCAGTTTTCCATTTTAATTGGCCCCCAGAACCCTAACCATTTCTTTCTTTTTTCTAGTGTGAATTTAAGAGACCATTCCCAGAGACTATCGTACTAACTTTGGATCGAACTATCTCCAAGGGGATTCTTGTTTAATTGCAATTAACTTAAACAATTAGATGTCTAGCTGTCACATCTACTGAAGCTGATAGGGGGTAATTAACTATCATTTAGCAGCTATAGTAGGCGTCCCAGACATCTTAGCCACTTAAGCTGAAAGCAATTTAGCGTGAAACCTTGTGGATATAGACCAATCCTGTTAGATCGATCTAGGGATGGGAACCCAGTCTCAGTGTTTTTTATCATTTTGTTCCAAAATGATTTTCATAGATTGATCTCGTATATAAAGGGTGCCAATATCATCATTTCAACTAGAAGGGCAAAATCAGCTTATACCAGTAAATAAAGAAAGACCTTTTACGTATGGAAATGTTATTTTGTTGTTCTTTCACAAAATTCATTTCTGTAACCAGGTGAAGTAATGGGAGCTCTTTGCCGTCGCTTTGGTCCAGTTATCTATGCTAACACCAAACAAACCACACTGCAAGGTATTAGAGATAACCTGGAAAGACAGCCACATGGATTTGGAAGTGAGAAAGAGAAAGAAGAGGCAGACAGGCTGATGCAGAAATTGTACAACTCTTGTACTTCTTCCTCAGATTCTGACTCAGATGATGACCATGGTGGGGGTGGTTTTAAGTTAGAAAGGGTATGTGATTATCTTTTTTAAATGAATTTTATGTGATTCATAAGAGATTAAAAATAAAAAAACTTTACCTCAGGTGAGGAAAACAGCTAACATTAGTAGCTTAAAACAATTGACAGTTATTTATTTGCTGAAATGACCATATGCAAATCTAAATTATTAATTATGATGCGATATAGATAAATAAAGTTTTAATATCTGACATTTTATTATCAGCAAAACAGCACTGATTCTGCACAGATATTCCATGACACAGCAGGATGGAAATCCCTAGAAACATGGATGAAGTAAGTTTGTTTTCTGTTATAAAAAACACAAATACAAGAGATGATTTTAGTCTAAAATAATAGGTTTCCCTCCTCATAACAATTTTTTCATCAAAAAATATTATTTTCAGCTCCTTTTTTTCTATCAGTTTACCTAATGTGTGTTAAAATGAGATCCAAACAATATTTAGATTTCACAATCATTTGGAATGTTTTTTAAGATGAGTGAGTTTTATTTTGGGGGTAAAGGCGGTTACAGGGTTAAAAATCTGGAAGTAAGGTTTCATTGTGGAGTTTTGTTTCATGTGATAAACAATATTTTGTTCCATGCCCTAAACAATATTAAATATTAAACTATCTAGATTTTATAGACATTTGATACGTATGTCAACAGTTTTAAAAAAGAAGCTTACCTGTTTTATTTTGATACAGGTGTTTGCAGTGCATGTTAGAGAACTGTGGCTACAGCTTCAACCCTTACATTGACCAAGAACTACTGGACCTTGTTTTTGACACTCTCAACCACACCAATAGATTTGTCAGGGAGACGGGGTACTATGTGTGCGGTACCCTAGTCAGCTGTGGACTAGATGATACTGGTAGGTATATTAAGGTAAATTAGATAGTGTATTGAAAGCAATGCTTTGGCACACTTTCCATTCAAAAAATATCAGAGGCTATAAAACCTTGTATTTTCATTTTTTTTACAAGCATTTACTTTTATTCATTTGAGATGTTTCAATTTCAATGAGACACCTTCTGCAGTTTATTGCACTCCTTAATGTTTTTGAAAAGAGAAAAAGGTAAGGCCTTTTAATTTACGAAAACAGACTAATGTATATAAACACAATATCAGAGGCTTATATTAAAAAAAATTAATTTATAGCCCCAGCTGGTACAGAATTGACCAATGAAAATGCAATTTATCGTCATGGTCAGCAATTTGCTGAATACCTTGGAAAAGGCTTAGCAGATAATTGGAGTCAGGTATGTAATTTTAACTTGGCTTATTTAGTTTAGAAACAGTAATTTATTATGGCAATTGTTTCAGTGAGACTTTCTACTAAGCATTTCACTATCTTGCATTTGTTTTGCATTTTTGTCCTCCTAGTTAGAGCCTACTATAACAGCTAAAGCCTCATTCCCTGATTAAGATGTTTTGTGAGGCATTAAAATTTTGGAGAGGTTCATGATTTAATACTTTGTCTTTATGCTTTAAGACAATTTGAAAATGCTTTTTATCATCACTTAACTCTGGATTATTCAGGTCAGACTTGCAGCATCTGTGGCAACACGGAAATTTCTGGAAAGTATCCACTCTGAGAAGGCCAGAGAACCATTTTACCCAATTCTAATTCCTAGAATGTGTCTCAACAGGTAGATTGATAATGCACTGTTCAGGGTTTGATGTTTGACATGTAAAGTAAGACAATGGTTAGTGCACTGCATGTCACTGAGTAAGGTTCTTACATATACTAATTAACATTACTTTATTGGAGTCATTCAAAGTAGTGGTTGTTGAATATATGTTTCAAGGAATAAATGGACAATCATGTTCATATGTGTTTATTCTTTAGATACTATGTTGCTGAGGGAGTTCGGATATACAACCAGGAAACCTGGAAACGAGTCACTGCAGGAGAAGGCAAACATTTAGTAGAAAGATGTATCAAAGAAACAGTATGTACATCGTTACACATGGTCATAATTTTAGCAATAAAAACTAATAATAATAATAAAATTCTTATAGGGTGCCTTACATTCTATCTCAAGGCGCCTTACAATAATGGCTAATATACTAAATCATGAAAATGACTACAATATTTTAATCTAAAACATTTGTTGGAAACCATTTAAAATTTACACTACTAAAAATCAATCCTGTTAAAATACATATACATATTAAAAAAATCTAAGAGATATAGACAGAATTAAAAATGTGGGTCTTTAAAAGAAATTAAAAATTGTCAAAGTCTTCTGTTTTTCTAATAAAATTTGGTAGGGCATTCCACACTTTTGGGGCGTAGATTATAAAAGCACAATCTTCATAACTTTTAAGGCACCCCTTCTCTAAAACAGAATGTTCTAAAATAAGATCATTCTCAGTATTAAAACATGCGGACCGCTGTGTTAGCTAAAACAGATAAGATCGGATATATATATAATGGTCCTTGTGAATGGATCGCCTTAAAAATAATACAAAGTACTTTAAAATCAATCCTCTGCTTCACAGGCAGCCAGTGTAATTCCAGTCTAATTCATGGTGTGGTTCTAAATGATATTTCTCTGTTTTTAATCTTCAAAAGGCTGGTTTCATTATATTTCATCAAACCACATTGTTTTTACCCAAAAGTAGGTCTAATCTGTTTTTCATCTCTTTGTCTTTTTTGCCTAGGTTGATTTCTACATAACGGAGACAGAGGCAGATAACCATGCAGTAAGAGAAGCTGCCTGCGCTTGCATTGCTGAACTAGGACATAAGGTACACTGCATGCATTACACTGGAAAGAAAATTGTCAGTTGTTATAATTAATAGATGAGTTAAACTCATCAACACATCCTAGTTTTGTTCACTTTTGGACTGCAGTTGACTCTGCTAGTTGCAATGAACAATTGTTAGTGTTTTTTGTTAGATGAATCAAAGTGACAATCTTTACTGCAGATTGACAAAGATGTAGTGCGTCCCCATGTCTCCAGACTTCTAGATGCATTGTTGGTATGTTTTGCAGACCAAAGTTGGCCTGTTAGGGATGGTATGTATGGGTTACTTGTGTACTGATTTTACTGATTCAGAAAACAAATAAAAATGTGTTACTTTGTTACATTCAGTATATCTATTTCTGGCAAAATGTACCAAATAAGATCGATTTGAAAGGTGGTCTTTTTTAAATAATCTAAAAATGTAAAAGAAGTTAATATTTTTTGTTCAGGTTTGTCATTTTCTTTTCTGAGACAAAGTTCCTATGGTGTGAACATATTCATCACTTTCCCTTTCCTTTTTCCCCCAGCTGCCTGTATTGCATGTGGCAACTTTGTTCTGTGTTTCCCAGAAGAGTCAAGGTAAGTGCTCAATTCTGTAACACGTGATCTCAAATTAATAGCTGTACTAAATATCTTATGAGCTTGAATGGGATAAAGACCATGATTTTAATGTTGTGCACATTACACATTTTGCCTCTTTTGATGATCTGAAAGTTATTATGGATTGACGGAGATAGGTCAGATTTTTATCTTAAAATGTGCTTTGGTAATTTCAGAGACAGCATACCAGCACTTTATCCTTTGTTTTATGAAAATCTTCAAGACAACATACCTTCAGTAAGGCAGGGGGCAGCCATTGCTCTAGGGAATGTGGTGAAGGCATATGGTAAGTTTTCAAAATAACTGCTCTGCTTTGATGGTGTACATCCTGTCACTTGACTGAATCCACTTTGAAAGTTTGTGGAACAGCCATCATATTATCAACTCCACTCTTACACAATTCCCACTGGTAAATTCTTTCTTCTCCCACAGGTGCTGAAGCTGCCGCGATAGTGATTGACAAGATCAAAGAGGGCCTCCAGGGGGTTGAGAAACAAACCGAAAACGCAGAGAGATATGGTGGACTGGACAAGTCTCCAGCCACATTTGGTGTGGTCAAAAAAGCAAGGGACAATGATATGGACCTTCATACTAACCAAACAGTGAGAATTGAGTGCATTTTATTCATCTGTTGTAATAATAGCTTAATAATTGCAATTGCATGGACATTTATTAAAATTTCGAATGAATTTCTCAATTTGGTTGAATTAAACTTCATTTAAATTACATTTATAAATAATTTTAATGAGCATTTAGTTAAACACAGTAACAATAACAAAATTTAACTTTTCAAAGTTATCTATAAATGTGAATTGATTTCCTTTAGATGTACTCATGTGGCTCACTGGCCCCTAAGATGGGGCGTGGTAAGAGGGGCGGGGGCTGCATGGACCACCAGTTTAAGAGGCCCTCAGAACCCTGGGAGCTAGGCGAGGGCTGTGTACACTTGATGGCAGAGATGAGCCACATAACTCAATATCAGAAAGATGTCTGTAATCTCCTCCCTGTGCTGGCTAAGGCCATGTCACATCAACACTACACACAACATGTGGTCTTCACGGAAACTGTGTGTAAACAGGTGATAATTGCTTAAGGTGTTTGTAGATCTTGCATGGTAACATGGCCTATAAACTGATTATCAGATTCTGCACATGGGTTAAGGATGTAAACAAGTATGTTGATACCAGAAAACAAGTTTGTAGCATATTTTTCAGTTGGATAAGTTTTCTGATGCTGTAATTTAAATTTGGATTTCCAAGTTTTTTAATTGCACCTTTCAGTTACCAAGAATAGCGACAGGAGTTGGAAAAAGACCATTTAAAATGTACTTGGAATACTTCTTGGACTACATATTTTATGGTTTGGTATGTTTATATTATATAACATAGCATACTGATCACTTAACTAGACAATTGTAATGTAGCCTTTTCAAGACATTTCTGTTGCCATTTTTCCAAGTAGAAATGGGAAATTATAGTTATGCTAAGCATTTGCCATTAGAAATTTTTGGTGTCACTATTGCATGCTAAGTCATGGTTATGTATATTGAAACATCCTACCTTACCCATTTACTCCTTTGTTGCTCATCTAGCAAAATTAACCTCTTTTTCCTAATATTTATTCACAGAAATGTGAGAATGCACTGACGTCCAGTGCTGCCAGTCAGTGCTTACAGGACCTTGCCAAGCTACTGGGACCGAACATCTTACGAGGAAGAGTGGAACATCTTAACCCAAGGTAAAGATAACAGAAAGGCAGACATGATAAAACTGTCAAGGGCAGTTTAGAATATTTGTGTTTAGTACATATGTCATCTTCAGTGTATATTTTGAATATTTAATTATATCGAATTATTTCAAGTTGCATATGAAGGTGTAGATTCCCTGTAATGCTTGTAAAGCACTACTACCAGTATCTCACACAAATCAAAGTTCACATGGCAAATAAACCAAATTAATAACCCAATCAGCCAAAATGACACTTTTACCATGAATTTATGGTTATAAATTTAGCCTACTTATCTGTCCCTCTAGTTTGTAAAAGTCTGCCAAATGATGTAGTAATGTATAATACATTACTGTGCACAATAGCATAATTATTCAAATAAGGTTTGGTGAAAACTACCAAGGGCTATACATAGCACAGAAAGAAAGCTGAAAATGTTTGTTCAGACATCATTTTAGGGGAGTATGGAATGATGCCGTTTGGTATTTCTATAAGTTATGCTATTTGAAACTATATGGTGGCATATGGTTCGAGTTCAGGAGCAAAGATTTGACATGTCAACTCGCTTCAAATAGATCTTGAACTGATAAATAAAGTCTCAAAATTACATCATTCACTTTCCAGATACCTGGAGGACTTTGATGCTAATGTGATGCAGATGCCACCCTATCCTGGACCCCCAGTGTGAAGTACACAGAGATCTGGTGATATTGATCTTATGTGGATGTGCATGTGGATGTGTGACCATCATCCTAGTTCAGATTGTGATGCGATTGTAAACAAGGGCTTTTTATGAACATTTGAGACAAGTGCATCAAGAGATATTATTCCAGTAGTACTTTTTTACCTTAATAACTATAATCAGTAAATGTTGTTAAGTATTTATTGTGTAGATGTCGTTTTGACTTACAGTGCAAGGTTGAAACCTGGTTTTGATCTACATGTCATTGTGCGTTATAGTCTGTGTATTAGAATGTACCACTGGAATGACTTTTCTTTGAATACTGGTCTGCAAAGCAGATTAAAAAATAAATAAAAATAAATAAAATATCAGATAGTTTTCACCTGATTTGAATGCAAAAACATTTGAAAATGTATTTAATAAAATGTTTCAAGTATTTTCATTTGAAATAATCAAAATATTAAAATTTTGTTTTGAAATATTCTGTTACTTTTATTAGAACTGTGTCAAAATAATAAAAATAACAATAATAACTGAAGGCTTTATTTCTTTTTATTTAAGATTTGAAGCAACCGTGGTAATAGTGCAATTTAACCTTCACATCAGCATCTAACTTCTATGTGCTAAGTCACATATTAATAAAATGATTGTTTCATTATTATTACCAATGTTTAACTAGCCACCTTATAATCATTGCATATAAAATCTTGAGAGAGAGTTTTAGGGTCTGGTTCTTTCTGTTGATATGTTCTTAAATAGTGAAAGCTTTAATCTTCCCTGAATTTTTATATGAATAACAGGTAGTACTTGTCAGATCTCATTGGATAAAGAAGTTTTGGGGAATGTCAAAACTGGAATCTCAAGAACATCATCCTTTCACTTAAATCTCACCAGATCTGACGCATCTGCTTCTGTCATGTGTGGCGTCTCTGGCTAATTTTTGATTTAGAAAAATTGTTTTCTCCAAACCAACAGTTCTTTCATCTACTTTGTCTGCTTTTCCTCAGTCCTTTCAAACCAGGTGAGGTCTGAGTTGCTATGCTGGACTTGGTCACCGTCTTCCTAACCTGCTTGCTTACTTTCTTCTTTGCTAAAACAAAATAAGGTCTAGATATATTTGCTTTACTCTATACAATACATGCCAACACAAAATAATAACACAGTGGGTGATAAGTATCAAAGTGGAAATGTTATCAAGCAAGTAGCTGCTGGCAAGGCAAGCTCCTAAGTATTCAAACTACTGGCCGAAGTTTGATCAAGCATCTGGAGTTGGACAGATAGTTTGAGTATGAGTTAGGTACACAGCCAACATAGAGTCAGTGCCTACAGTTGTCATCACAGGTGTAGAGATTGTACAAGAATGGAAGAAAAAGATGATGCCTTGGACATGGATTACAATTTCAATAAGAGGTAATATTTGCACAGCTTTCCAATCTGCATATAGCTGTTCATGCCATGGAGCTGAAACATGGATGTTAGAGCTTTTTTTTGTCATTCCACAGTTATCTAATTATCCAATTTGATTCTGATTCAAACTCTGTAGAACTTTTCAAAATCTGAAAAGCCGCCATAAGCATTGGGGCTTGGGCAAAGAGGGGAAGATGTCTCCCATCTTAGTAAAGGGCAGGAGACCCATGGGCCTTGCATATCCCACGGGACACAAGTTTAACTGCAACTTTGTGTCCAACTAAACCATTTTGTGCAGGGGACAACCAAGAAACATGCTCAATATTTCAAATGCATCTACTCTTACTCCCTACCTTTGCCATTGTTTCTTGCCTCAATTAAACCAGAGTACAGAAACTATTTCCTGCAGGAAAAAAATTACTGACATAATACTTATATTCTGTTCCAGGTGCTGACAAATAAATAAATAAATACATGGCACTGTGCATTTTAAATATCTTTGTTCAAGACAAATTATCTTCAAAGTCAGGTGTGACTTATTTCAGTACACAATGACACAAAATGGTACAAGGAAAGAATATTTTAAATGCAGCTAATATTTCTTGTCATTTTATAAAGCTATTAAATACCCACCTGTTGGAGTGTGCCTAGGGGAACTAGTGCCAGGTGACTTGGCTTTGGATGCAGATCCTCTTGGAGACTTTACTGCAGCTGGTGATTTTGCTACTAAAACATATACGAAATACAATTAAGTAGGTGAATGGTTTTCAATTATTTGTATAATGTTTAACTAAATGATTGTAAAATATGCTTAAATCTAAAATATTAATCATAACCCAACTCTAGGGTCTATGATGGGTCCTAGATTAATTCCAACAAGCAAAAATAAGCAGAAGCTAAACATAACAGTTAAATAGAAACTGTTCAGCAATATATTTTGTCATATATTTATTGTTTTGGTGAGCATTTTGTTAATTCTTTGTCCCAAAAAATTAACTAGAATTATTCCACATAAGCATTTGCCAAAAGCAAAGAATACAAACCAGCTGGTGTTCGCCTTGGGGATTTGACAGGAGTTTTTGCTGGGGTCACTCGATGTTTAGGGGATTTTACTGCAGTCTTCTTAGCTTTCTTTTTCGGAGATGGTGTGTCACTTACATTGTCACTTTCTCTCTTTCTGCCCTTCTGGTTGATAACATATCATTAAAATATAATCAAAATCCAACGAAATTGTATGTGTAGATGTAAATAATCAACATCAATCAATGAAATCACAATTTCTCTCAGATAAATAAGTGTCAGGGGTATATAAATCACATTCTGTTTTATTAGTGCCATTTTTGTTTTCAATTTTCGTTCAATTTTCTACTCTCTCTTCCATCACAATATTAGCTGTGCAAATAGTGCAATGATGAAGTCACAATTTTCATTGCCTATGAATACCATTCCTGCATGGGCAACATACAGTATAACTGTGCAGCAGACACCAATATCATGAAATCCCACTTACTTTGTAACTGAAAAGTTTATTAAATTTGACCAAAAGAATGGTAATTTCTAGTGAACACACTAACCTTTGGTGACAGTGGCAACCCCAGGTTCAATTTCCCATTGATTCCTGCCCCACATTTCTTTAATCCATCTTTCATTAGTTTTCTTAAGTGGTCATAATCAGGAGTTTCCGCATAATCAAGCTTGGAAACATACTGGAGATATTTGGCTATTGCAGCTGGGGAGGACAAAAAAGGACAAACACTACATCACTGACAGTTCTGGTCATCACATGGATCCTAAACATTAAACACTACCAGCTGATTCAATGATTTCCTCTTCTTTTCAAATGATTCTCTTTTTTT